AACCAATCTGTGCAAGTCAAATGAAAAATACCACCAGGCTTATGTTGGCTTTGTATGCAAATTTGGAACCACTGAGTTATTTCTGTGTATGGCCTGCTCTCCACTGAGTCTCAACAGATAATATACACACTTTAAAATTCCTGAAGACTCTAAAGAGGTTTTATTTCTGTGGCTTATATTGATTAATATTTGCCATATTAGAAATTGAAACTGAAAATGTAATATATTTATTAATTTATTTAAACAATAATAATAGACCCATTACATAACATAAATGAAATACTTTCATAACAAACTATATTTTCAAAACCAAAAAATAGTTGGTGAGAAGAGCAGCACTGTTTTACAATGTTTTTGAATCTTCCAGTGTCCTGTTTAATAAAAGATTGCTAGATTCTTATATCTGCTTCTGTATTCAACGTGTTGTGAAATATGTTTTGGTTGAAGTACAATGTTGGAAACCTGGCCTCACATGGACATGTAGTTGGAAAGGGGAGAGCTATTTTTAGCTTTTTCTTTTTACCACATCCAAACTCAACAAGTGGTAGTGTTTTAAAGGATAGTTGCAATGTGGAATATGAAATCTTATCAATAAAACTGTCCTAGCATTTTCAATGGTTCTTTTACCCATGCATGACTTTGTAGCAGCATGCACCGATCATTCAGAAATATTGATTCACTCAGCTATTTAGATGTTCCAAATGCTTGCACAGTTTATTTTATAATATCAAAAAAAAACCCTGCATTTTCTATTGCTATACAATATCACTGCTGATTTCACCAGACAATCTTTAAGTATGGAAAATCTGTCAAATTATGGTGACAGGTTCAGGCTTTCCAAATCGCTAATCTTTGCTAGAAAGCTCAACTGTTATCATTGCCAATAAATACTGTCAGTTGTTTTTCCTGAAGTGACAGGCTAAATTCAGTCATTTTTAAGAAAATATCTCCCAAGTTTGAATAACTCTGGTTTATCTGTCAGTCTCTTTACAAGTAAAGATGATGTTCTGTGGGAAAGAAAAGCAGCTAAATTAGCTCCAAACACAGTGGCCTCTGTGTTTTTCCTTGAGGCAACCATTTTAGGTTAAATGCAGCAAAAGCACTTTCTGGTGCTTTGCAATTGGTCTCCCAGCATTTGAGACATGGACTCACAGGTCAAGATTTAATAAAAATGATAATTTTCCTACTGCATCAGGAACACTGTTAAGTGAAACTCTTATGTTTTTTTCTGCAAGTGTGTGATGGTGAAAAATTCAGGGAACATTAGTGTCAAGTGGTGCCACTTTCTTGATGTGAGCTACGGCCCCAACAGTTTTACCCACCATCGCTTTTGCACCATTGATGCAAATGTCAATATAGCAAAAAAGATGAACAACATTTTAATGTTATTATGAAAATAGTTTCTACTTCACAGACTCCCTGAAAGGGTCTCAGGGATCTCAGTCTGAGAACTGCTTTCTATATGCTACTTGCCAAAATTGTATTTGTTCGCTATTTCTGCATAACACATCCACAAACTTAGTGTTTAAAACAACACACATTATCTCACTGTTTCTATAGGTCAGAAATTCAAGAAGATTTAGGTCCATCCTCAGCTTAAAGTCTTACAAGGCTAAAATCAAGGTATCAAGGCCAAGGCAGGAAGATCACCTGAGGTCAGGAGATTGAGACCTGCCTGGCGAATATGGTGAAACCCCAACTTTACTAAAAAATACAAAAATTAGCTGGGCATCGTGGCACACACCTATAATCCCAGGTACTCAGGAGGCTGAGGTGGGAGAATCGCTTGATCCTGGAAGGCAGAGGTTGCAGTGAGCCAAGATCGTGCCACTGCACTCCAGCCTGGGTGACAGAGCAAGACTCTATCTAAAAAAAAAAAAAGAAGAAGAAGCCAAGAAGCCCTCCTAAACCTGTGCATACCTCTGTCAGAACCTTTCTCCCCACGTAGTACCTTAGTTTCTCCCAGAGAGCAGAGTCCTGTCTTACCTTTAAACTGAGACCCTATTTAGTGCCCAATACATGATTAGAGCATGCAGGAATAAATCTGTAAAAGGAGTTGCCCTTATGAAGGGAGGGGAACCACTTACAATAGACCCTCAGTGCAGTCTTTTAAGAAATATAGATGGCAAGCACAAATCAAATTCTGGTGCATTAACTTGTATTACAGCAAAATTCTCAGTTTAGCACCAAGATTTTCAGGCAAACATTATTAAGTACAACAAACTTAAAAAAGAGAATGTGACCAGTTTCCCAAGTTTTATCTAATACACTTATGTAATTCAGATGTCCCCAAAATTTCTCCAACCTTCCAACAAAATACCCCAACAGGAATGTGGTAGTGGTTCACAACATCTTGAATGTACTAAATGCCACTAAATTGTACTCTTTGAAATGACTAATTTTATGTTATATAGGTTATGTTATGTGACTTTCACATTAACTAAAATGACACACAATAAAATGTTCTAATACCCCGGTGTATTAGATTAGCATGTTACCCAGTCACTCACCTGTTTCCCCTCCTAAACCCATCCGCATGTCTCACTTTGGATGTGGTTCCAGGTTCCTCTGCTAATTACTCCCTGCCCTTGTATCATATTAACACATTTCTAAATGGCTGCATTTTTCTTTAAATCATACCCACACTCACCACTCCTGACACCACTATGGACATATTTTCCTTGCTTAATCCCCCAAAATACAACCAAGAATGGAAAGTAGTATTTAGCAAAACTTTCCTGAAAACTTGGAGTGAACAAAGGAAACTATGATGCAAAAGAGATAAACATAAGACTGAATCCTGTGTTTGCTGTAAGGAGTCATAGGCTATAAAATATATTATTAATTTAATAACTCAGGAGAAAAAGAAAAATCTCATTAAACATTTATGAAAGTTTCATTTAAAAAATTTCTTAGTTGTCAATAATTACACAGT